ACAGCCACTATTCAACGAGGCTGTAAAAACTGCAGCGTCTCGCTAAAACGGCGCTTCGAGGAAATCGAACTTTGAAATTAGGACTCTAATCCGGGAACGTATAGACACATAGAACACCCTGCTAAAAAGATCTGCATTCGTTTTGAAAGCATTTGGACTCAATCGCCCTAAACGCCGTAGATTGGATAACAGCAAGTAATACAGCCAGACCATTAGGTCGTAAATCAACTTATCATCAGCAAAAATTGGAACGATTAATATGCCACTACAACGGGTCGGTACGTCGCTTTCCATAGTCAAAATAAGTACGCAATTAAATTAATGTAAAAGTATAACTACTGCTAGTGGTTCAACGGAAATAGACACGTACAACTAAAAATTGTTTTTTTTTGAAATTAATATACCGACCTGCTGGAGGTTCAGAGAGATCCGGTGCGACACACGAAAGATGGTACCCTCGATCACAAGTGTCACAAAGCAGGAGGTCGTTGTCCTTATCACTGCTATTGTCCAAGTCGTTGTGACCTTCTTTATTCTCATTAGGGCTTTCACCTAAATGCCCAATGCTGGCGGTGTGGGCAGCGTTTGATGACGAATAGTGACAGAGAGTACAACGCTTGCAGTCAACACAGTACCACCGTAATCGCTTAACGCATTGGATCATGGACGGAGTCATTTGGAGACAACTTGGATGACCTAAAACGAAATTTAACAAAATGACCACGGCGAGAACAGCTAAAGTGTTTCGTGGATAGACGAGGTTGCATTTAAGTCCGACAAAAAAGGCTACCGGGCAAGTGATACGTACCTGATCGGCCGCATCCCCAGCAAGCTATCATTTCCTCTGGCTCTTTCCTGCTATTGGCTTCTTCATCACCAAGACAAAAGCTACATATCGGAATTATTTCCGCCATGTCACGATTGACCGGCTAAAATTTGAAACAGGAAATGACAGAACGAGAACGATATGAGGAGGAATAAAGTGTAGGTGACTTACGGGAGCCGAAGCGCGGGTCTCATGTGAAGATGAGGCACAAGTAGTAAGGTTGTCATTCTTGCGTGGAACCCGGCCCCGTCGAGACTTGTTTAATTCAGACAAGGTGTCCTGAGCTTGCACAATGCCTGACCGTCGTTGCGGACGCAAACTACGAGCAGGTTGATACGACTCACCATCCAAGCTCTTCACAATCGACCCCTTCGTAACGGCAACATTTAGAATTTTTAACAGCCGATCAGCAGTTGGTGGTTCATTCGGCAGATGGCTGCTGATAGTGTCAACAGTCGCCCTTTCGTTGGAACTGGACAAACTGTTCACGACGGTCAAAATTTTAGTGAGTTCCTCTGAAATTGAAACATTAAAGGCCTGACTGCTTAAAAAGCAAGACGTAAGGAGTATTTTTTAAAAAAAACGAGCAACAAGGAAAAAAATTAAAAAACGTGAGACCAAAGATGTTGCGTGAGAAGACAGACAATGCTTAGGATTTTTGAGCAATTAAAAATCACTAATCAAGATTAAATCAATCCACAAATAGTCACGGGCTGAGTTAGGCGCTGAAAGCAAATGCATTTAATTGCATTTGCTTGAACACGCTTCCTAACAAAAATCAACTTTACAAAACACGATTATAAGAAAAACAAGAACCAAGAAAACTGGTGAAATTGATGGCAAAGAGATAAGTTGTCGGTTCACTATGTAAATAAAACCTTAAAATGTGTCATCTAAAAAACCTATAGCTATTATGCCAAAAAATCATATTACGGCAATACCAATTAATTATGAGAGCCCACAGTTTAAAAATATACGAGAGGAGCAACAAATACAGTCTACGGGACAATGAAGAAATATTTCAGCAACCCGATATGTAATAAAACATAAAATGTGCAATTTAATATTATTTTACTATAATCAAAACATAATTTGCTCCTATACCTTGAGTAACTCCACTTTCATGAAGCATACCGCATTTGCAACGATTTTATCACAAAATAAGCGCGCTTCATTGATATAATAAAACTAAATTGCATAGGCGGATGTGTTTTATTTAGAATAATTAAGTAAAGGAACAAAACCATTAAACAAAATACCTTTATTTTGCGTTATGTTTTTATGTAAACACAAGCTGATCATAGCAGAAATTCATTGCTTTTCATTTTAGAATTTTGGTAGCGGTCATTTGTTCAGAAATACCTATTACTTCTCAATATTCATATATTGCGTTTAAGTTTTATTTATTTAGGCACACACTACACACTGTAACCTGAACATAGAATTCGAGCAACCAACATGAACTTTGAAAATGTACAATTTGTCAATCCACGGATTTCAGGAATTCGAGTACATTTTTTGCGTATCACAAGTACCGAGTACGCAAACAACAGACACTAATAAAGATTCACCTAATTTGCAACTATTGCAAAATCCATGTGACAGAGAACTTGCAAATGGTATTTTGGTATTAATCTGGTTATTCGCATTGAATGATTTCCCATTACCCGACTACATAGAGTGTCTCGCAGTTGTGTTTTGGATGTTTATAACGTTTGCTGCAGTTTACAAGGGCTAGTGTACGTTACTGTATTAGAACTTGTGGCAATTTTGAAATTTGAATTGGATTTTTTTTGTTTGTGCAGACGACAGATTTTCAATTTTTTTCAGATGCTGGTATTTCTATTGCAAATTAATCAGTAGGAAGTATTTAGCTGATTAATTCATAAAGTTTCGATTTGTTCCTATATGCGTTTACCCTCATTATTTGATGTCTTATGGCTTAAGGATTCACTAGTTTTATCAGAATATGTTATGGTGACGAAAAGTCATTTCATCCTGTGCTAAATTTAAATTGCTATTAATACAAATGTCCCTATTTTGTTAATGTTTAATTGACTTGCTGTTAAAATGGTGAAATTCGTTTTGGCCTTTGAAATAGATTTATTTTGCTAATTGGTGTGCAATTATACGCCTTATTCTATAGGCTTTGAAAATTTTCGCATATTTTTCTTTTCTGATATATTTAGAAATACCTGACCTAGTTAAAGTAATTTTAATAATTCAAAATATATAGTTGTAAAGAAAAGGATCTTGTTTTGACCCATTAAATTAGGATGACCAAGCTCCTATTTACAGAAATATCCCAATGAACTAGTTTAGCGTGCGAGCAGAAAGACGTCATCTTGGCATCCAGCCGTTGGTCGAGAGCCAGTGGCGCGCCACGGGGCATCATCACGTGACTTCCGGTTGCGAGGAGCATTTGCATTTCAAATTGAGCGCCAAAGCCTGATTAGCCAAACTCCTTACGAGATTGTCTTTCTATTTCTGCATTCCAAGCCGGAGTCTATGGGCGGACAGGGGCAACCTGGACCAAGTATATAAGAACCCCATGTAAACAATGACACTTTAACCCCGATACCGGAGACCCAAGCCAATATTTTGTACCAATAAACCTTTCTATTCGTCCCTAAGCCTTCTAACGAGATGGCCAGCAAAATTCAAAATTTACGCGACGGTGTTTCATAGGCTGAAATTTTTTTTCCAAACCCGGCCATAAGAAACCATTTTTTTATTGAAATGTTTGAGCTTAAAAATGTTTGACTAAGTATAAATGCTGGACCATTTTTGACATAAAAAGTCCAGCAATTAATTCTTGTGTTTTCTAACATGCACATAGTTTTTTTACCAATCGATATATAATTAATACATTTTAAAAATCATTAAGCAGAAATTAATTGAAGCACTTTCAAGTACTCTTGACTCATTGGCAAGATTTTGCTTTATTTAATGCACAGCGAATGATTTTATTGACAGCAAGAACACTTTCACCTAACATATTGCATCATGTCTATCAAAAACGCCATTGCCATATTTTTGTCTAAAACCCTCTGTCGGAACACAGTCCACAAGTCATAATGACTTCTGGACATTTTGTAATTGAACTCACAAATATTGTTTAATTTAAACTTTGTGCACATTCAGGATTTATGATTTCATTTAACGTTATCAAATCAAAAAATTGACAAGTAGCGTGCATGTTGCATGGACTCTTGAATGTAGTATGTAATGGAAATTATAACTAAGTCTCCATCAACATCGTACTTTTTTTTACCATGAAGAAGATTTAGTAGAAGACATAGTGAGACCCAGACTTTTTGCGAAAAGAAATGCTCTAGAGACCAGATTATCGTAATCAGGAATTTTATTAGACCACTTAACCTTAATTTTACAAATAGTAAATTTTTACAGACTATAAGTCAGATAACTGTTGTTGACTTGGAACAGCTATAAATACTGAAGCAAACATATTATGCAATAAACTTGAATAGGTCAATATCAGGCCGATTTGTTAAATGATTTACCAAGTTAGAATTTTGAATGACATTGTATTTGGCTAATTTTCAACGATGTTTACCGCTATTAAGTTTTACTGATTTTGGAACCCACAAATTTGGCCATTTTGTCGCGTGAAGTAAAGTCGAAATTAGAATAAAAGAAGTCGCCCTGGCTTAGGTAATTTTTTGATCAATAAATAAAACTTGTGCATGGATACGCACCAAGGGATGAGTAAAAGTTTGAATTATGCTGTCATTTTTTGTAGTTGAGCTGCAAAGAACTCAAAATCTGAAATAATACAAAAAGTTTTTTGACCTGGGAAGTGCCATTCAACATGTAAATTATATTACCGAAAATCGAGTAGTTTGAAATGCTCTGTAGACTGGATGAAGTTTTATAGCAGAGACAGATATTAATAAATTCCAAAGGAATATTCATGCGGGATAAATAATTTTTTAAAGGTGCATGCTTGTTAATGCCAATAAAGGGCCCGTGTAATTCGGCATAACTCTAAAATTGCGAGGTCTTTTAGGTTTAAGCTTTTTGCCAAAAAAATGTAGCCTCTGACAAAGCATTCTGAACACAGATTTCGCTTCTACTGCCTCAAAGTTTTACAGAAGTAGAGGAACGTTTTTGTAAATAAATTATCAGAATTATCGGTTGTTCTAATTATTGTATGGGAGACGCGGTTAAACGATATCTGGTCAAGGCTTCTCTGGCCTCCGAGTCGCTATTGGCCTTCATTTTGTGGTTATTTAATGTTTCGTGGTTGGGACAGCGATGAAAAATTCTTGATATGTTTCTGCTCGTTCCAGTGATACTACTTTGTTTTTATATTGGGTTTATGTTAAGCAGACTGTTAAGGTAGTTTCCCTCAAATTTCACAGCCATTTTTAGAAAAGGGCGTGATCGATATGAAAAAGCTGGAAACTCACATTGTCCAGTATTTCCTACCATATTTTCGCAACCCCAAACTTTCTGTAAATGCGGTGTTTTAGCGTACGTCATAATATTTCATTTAATTATTAGCTACTCTCGCTCATATTTTGATCCCCGTGGGTGTAAATTATCGTTTCACGCCGATGATAACCTTCAAAAGGTACTTTATGTTATGACGATTAATTGCCCAGATATTCGACCTCATTATCGAAAGGTTCATTCTTCGCTGGTTCTTGTAAGCTGATTTCATTTCTCCTTGGTATTTATCGCGTGGCAGCGATTCTCTAATTATTCATTTATCGCACGTTTCTGTAGAAACCTAACTGAAGACAAAAAATTTACAACCGATGTAAAGGCTCAGTTGCAGCATATGTGTAGCGTCCTTCTTCTGAGGTTAAAGACGGTAGGGTCGAATTCCTTCTTAATGCTGTTAAGGTTAATCTTTCCGAATTGATAGAGGAGAAATTGCTTCCATGCGTAGTGCATCATGTTGAACACTTGTTGGCCCTGAACAATTGTAAGTTCAGTTTTATTTTGAAAATGGTATGGGTGCCTTTTCAACCTTCATGCCTATTTTCTTCCTTTCTTCTAAAATCATATCTTACAAATAGATTTTAAGATTATTTACCGTATTTTCGGTTTTACAGCCTCTAATAGCATTAATGGTAAGCTACTTACTCCTTTCTCGTACTCGTATGTTGAGTGTCAAGTATAGCTGGACGCCATAAAGTAGTTGCTTGAATTGCCTGCTTCATTTTCTGTGTCTTTCATCTCAATTGAGCTCTTCACATGATGTTTCTCACAGTACTAATGTCTGCTTCCAAGTATGCTATTCGCCAAAAAAGATGCTTTTTATGCTGCCGTCTCCCTATAAAACAATGCTTAACTCATTTGCAATTTAGATTTCTTCGAGCCATCTAGTCTTTCTAGTAGAGACGACGCTACTCCTTTTTTGCCCCCCGCCGATGAGGTAATTCTTCAGCGTCTGTACTCGGCGGCTCATCTTCATCCAGCCCTTCAGTCACGGCAATCAGAGTCCCTCTATCTACAGGGTATTGTCCGATGCCTTTTACCCCACCTCCTTATTCCCCCTGGCCTAAAACGGAGAAAGAAGCCTACACGAAGGAAGTCAGTTCCTTCGGACGAGGTTTCCCGTTTGAATAACCTTGTCGACCAGGCATTTTCTTCGGCCCAGTTCCATCACCAGCTTCCAAAACAGATGGCAACACGTTTGAATCGTCCTGTTCAGTACGATTCCGGGTATGTATATCTTGCCATGCAAAATAATTGAATTGTTGTTGTAGCCCATGTATCTTAAATAGGCTTTAGTAATTAACGATTTCGGTTGATTTTGACTTTTTCCCTTATGTGGGTGCCATAAAGCGTCACAGCCTTCTACACTTTCTTTATATTTCTGAGGCTGCATTGGTAGCCACATTTTTTGGACTCCTAATAATTTAGTTTACCTGGTCAACCACTCTTGCACTATTTGAATAGAAATACCAATCGCATTGGAGTAGGCTGCCAAATTGGTCAGGTGTCAATGCAGTTCTGTGATCAGCCTAGTCAGGCGTTCGTGTCTTTTAGTAATACCAAGTTCCTTGTCCTTGATGACTTTAAAATACGCACGCCAATACCTCGGGTGTGGAAATTTGAAGTCATCTTCATGAATACGACATAAACTCGCCTCATTGGAATTAGTGTGTAGAACTTGTTTTTTAGAAAATCGATGTAATGATTTCTTCTCTGTAGGCCAAATTAAAATCATTTAAGTTCGAGATGGTCGCTATGCGACTGTTTGAAGATAATAATCAGACAATACCTCGAAATCAACGCTTCATGGACATTAGAGGTTAAACAACTTGTCCGCACATTTTCTCGTTTTGTGTCCGTCAAGTGTTTCTAGGTTGTCGAGTGGTACAAAGTCTTTTAGCTCAGAAGGCTACAATTCCAATGCAGTGTCCGCTGCGTTAGAAAAGTATCTTTTTTTAGTTTGAGAGTTCTAAAGTTTGACGCCATGCAGCCCATAAAGTAAGTTTTGTGTACACAGACTCACCAGATTACGCCGTTTGGACATGCTGAGAAGATTCAGTAGCGTATAACGCACCATGGATCCATCGCCTAAACCGCTTAGTATTGACCTGCTAGTGCCTCATGATGTACAACAAAGTGATGCAGATTTTTGGGTCTGTAATTCTGACTGCTGATTTCTGTATCAAAAACTTCTGGATTGGCCTGTCGAGGTGCTTTGCACACGTGACTTTTTCGATGTCACCAATGCCCAAATTACCCATGTGCTTTTGGTTACATTACGTAACATAGCCTTTTGGAGCTGACCCACTTTTCTAGGGCTAGGCAGCAGTTAGTCTGCTGTTCTGCAAAACTACCTTTTTCAACATGCTGCGTAAAGCTCTTTTTTGCACAGCTTAAACGTACTGGCGGCTTTGGATGGTCACAACGGTTGGTTCGTTTCTTTTAACCAACTTTTTTTCTCAGACAGCTCCCATATTTGACCTACCTGTTTAGCTGAACAGGTTTCGCAATATTATCTGACTTCCTCAGAAATTTAAATAATTAATTTCACTGTCTTGTCGTTGTATTTTGCCATTTTCGGTGATGTGGTTAGGTTTTTTTTTAATTCATTGTCCTCACACAACCTAATGGCATTTTTATAGTCCGAACTACACACAGGTTTCTCAGTGTGCGCGGGCTTTTCTCACCGAAGTTCTTGCCAATCATGTGCTCCTACCTGCTCTTGACTCAATCGCCAACCCTGTAAGCCCAAACTCTCGCTTTGCCCTCATATTTATGCCCCTCCCCGCGTCGTTTCTACCTGGTTATTGCACTGAAAATGCGCTGCATATTGTCTTTGCGGTTGTGTTTGGCCCGAGGTACCTATTAGCTCTACTCTTGCACCAACTCCGAATCTCGATTTACGTATTTTTCGGGACAGAACTGTGCTGAATGCACTAATACAATGGGCGATTTCGGGATCGCAGTCCATCTCATGTGGAGTGGTTTTGTGCGTTCTGTTTAGAATTCGCAATGCTTTGCTACGCGGGCATCTGCTTTATCCACCATGCCTTCGCTATGAAACTACAAAGACTTCAGACACCGTTGGGATGGGGATCCATACCCTTATCTTTGCGTCGAAATCAGTTAATAATCCCATTGGTTAGTCCTCGTAGCCTTAGTCGCATGCATGAGAGTGCGTACTCGCGGTTGCCATGGTTGCTGGGGATGACTTGTTCATTACAGGCAATTTTGCCTTTCAGGCTAATGGGCTTCCCAGTCTATTTCTCATCGTACATCGACTGATGTGGTAAACATTATGTTGCTTTGAGTAATGCTTGTTGCGTCATCTATGGACGCAACCGTCTTTGTGATTGCCTCAAACCTTCCTATATTTGCTCACGATATGTCACTCGTGTCCTCGTGTCAGTTTAAACAAGGATACCAGGTACCAGAACATATTGCTTCCTGTTTTCCTCGGAACGCTTCCTACATATGTTCCGTTCCACAGCTATTTTCCTAAACTTTTTCTCCGAAGCACACTGCGTTTACCTGGCGTTAAATGCTGTAATTCGCACTCGTTCAATCATATAAATGTCATCCATCTCTTGTCTTTTTTAGGATTCACTGAACACCGTTTTCTTGTACTTAATCGATCCGATCGCCGTGAGTCTGTTCTTCTCTTCCTCAGTTAGCCCGTTTGCCCTTAGTCATATTCCATCGTTCTTGGTTGTACTCTTATCAGAATATTCGTGCATACTGTAAGTCCATGTTCAGCTTGCTTTAAGCAATAATCCTGGCATTATCCCTGATATGACAACTTACTCATGTATCTCCTGAGGACACAGTAGAACGGACTCGCCTCATTTCTAGTTTCTACACCCACCATCGATAATTTAGGGTGGAATGTGGATGCCACCGTAGGCTTGTGTGAGTATGAGTTTTATTTTTGTTAAAGCCACGGTGACGTAGAGTGTTTACACCTGGGCGAAACGCCGAAGTAATCATTCTAAAAAAACTACCAATTGTGTTGCAAATTCCTAAACCTCCGGCCCTCTTGACGCTTTCTCAAACTTAATTTTCATTCAGCACGTGACATGTAAATGCTGACTTTTATATGATCTTTAAAGTGGCAATGGTTTCCTTCGTCACACCTACCTCAAATAATCGGCAATCATTTCCGTTTTGCGTAGGACGACACTGATTATCCGCCCGATGCACCAATGGTACCTCTGCTAAATGCGTATATCGATGATTGGATTAAATCGACTGAAGAAATGGTAAGTGCGCTTACTTGATAACATGATTTTTTTTGTTTGTTTTCGTTTGCACGTTTACAGTGATACGTCATAGGCAAGTAGGTTTGCCACTATCCGAGCCCGTTTGTCTTGCTTTCGTCACGTTTTCTCCTATTGCCCCAACCCACCCAAAGTAAACTAAATGCCGATGCTTATGACGGGTCGGTTTAGTGAAAGGCAGAAATAGCTTCCTAGGCTTGTGTCTTCGAAGAAAATTGTGTGTTCCGAGGTCAAATTCCAACATTCCTGTAGGGAGCCGGTGGAACTGGACGCACTACTGTTAGCCCTATCCTTTTCACTAAGAACGCTCAGTATTACGAATGGTTTAGAGTAAAGACTAGCCAACAAGTACAGCTCTCAAAGCTTACTCAAGCAGATGTATGGTCTCATCAAAGCGTGGACACCCGTAGGCTAGTTGTCTGGCTTTGTCTTCTTGCAGCCTGCGACGAACCGAATGGAGGCGCTTCTGCAGCAGCCAAAACAGCTTGCCAACTTTGTGCAATACATGAAGTCAATTAATTGCTCCACCACCATGACCATCCTCCTGCTTATGTGTACGTTATTTTATTCCCTTATGCTCCGTATCGCATTGCCCGCTCATTCTCTTTCGCTTTTGCCCACTCGAGCACCTCCTGTCCACCTCTTCGACTCTCAATCATTCCCTTCTATTTATATTTTCCAGACATTTAGCGAATCAACTAATCACACGAAATGGTAAAAGTAAAGGTTAAGCTTAAGACACTGTTGCCCTCCTTGTTTTTCAGTTGAAGTTGTAAACAAAATCGAGACTGAGTCACTTTCGCCCGAGCTCTGTGATCGATTGAAGCTGCCCCTGCACCAGCTCCTCTTTCTCCTCCACTGCGGCCGAGTGCTTGCCGGAGACGAACTCGACCACCAGACCATGACAGGCCGCGATCTGTTGCCGCGCACCTGCAGCGAATGCGGCTGTGACATCCCCCCAGCAAACGCTCCACAACTGCCCACACTACTCGGTCTACCGGAGGAGATTACTGCGGCAATCGCAGAGGCTATTTCTGCATCAGCGGTTGATCCTCTCAGCGTCGCGAGGCTTGTTCACACGCCTGAATGGACTATGTGAGTCGGATGGCGTTATGCACATAAATTTCCAGATTCTTTAAATGCCAATTATCTTGACAATGTCAGTGGTAGTGTAAAGTCCTTTAGTGTAATATTCCACCACCACTGACGTCCTTGCAAGGCCGTCGAAATGCCAGTAGAGTATTGTGTTCTGCTCAATTTTATCCCATGCAAAGTCTGTAATTCCAATGACCAGTGGTGTCATCATTTGAGGATTGGAGACCAAACTGTAACAGTTACGGCACGATCCGGAGCACATACGTGAAATGTAAAACTAAGTGTTGAACTGGCCTCGTTAACCCCATAAATCTACCCCCAATTACGAAAAAGCACAAAATGGTATGCAGTAGACAATTCTTGCCTGTCTCGAGTATTTGTTAGGCTAGTTACTAAGAAAGGCGATTTAATTCGAGTAAATACTAACCGTTTATAGTCGGACATGTTCACCTTCTGGTCATTCTTCTGTTTTGGTCCTGTTGAAGTGAATGAAATGAAACGGTTGATGGTCTAAGGAGGTATTGATGGTCGAAGAAGGACGCATAATTTACCTAAAGTGAGGTGTAGTGAATTGCATTGCATTTTGCCTTTGAACGGCACCGCATGATTCGACTTCGAGGAGTCGTTCACGACTACACAGAGGTGTGGGCTGGTGGGTAGTGATTGCATAGACTTGGCTCAAAATGTGCACAGGGTTATCCAAGACTTACACATTCCGATTAATCTGAAAGGCAAGTTAAGTCCTTTCTTATTTCCATAAGTGATTGCAGAATGTTGGCAAATCCAGTACTGTTGAGCCAACCATTTGTAAAACCCAAAGCCATGGTGGCTCTTCACAATTGATGTCCGTCCAAACCATGCAACTTAATGCTTGAACCTACGTACAAGTCTGGCTACATTTTTGAGTACGTTGGTCCAAATCGACTTTTTTTGGCTCTAAGTCCCCAAACATGATGTTATCTTTATTATAAATTATTTTATAATATGACTTGGGCTGATCTACGGACCTTAATGGAATTTGGCATTCCCAGTTTTGTTCTTTCCTCCTAACTGAGGTCTTCTGGTTACCGGCCCGTGCCTAAACAACACAGATTCCACGCATCTCGTGGTGAGTGAACTGGTGAAGTGGGGTAAATTGTCATACCAGGTGAACCTTATCGCTTGATTGGAGACGTTTTGCCGTTAAAAATGCTGAAAATAGCGACCTGCGAAATATCACCTCTTTTGATTGTGCCAACTTGCATTCTGGTCGTGTATGTAATAACGAGATGTTCGAATCAATGACCAATTCAAACCAATCCTCTTGCCTTGTTATTTCTACATGCGTTGTCCTGATTTCATTGCTAGTTTACACTAATCCAGTACCACAGCTACGTCATGAATTTTGCTTTTTTTGTAGATCAAGTTCACCACAAGAGATAGTGCCTTACAGGTTTCAGCGCTTGTTCGCCTAAATATAGTAAACTCGAGATTTTTTCCTATGCCCGAGGTACTTAGGTAGGTAACCAGGAAGAATTCATCGCATAAAATTTAAACAAACAAAAAAACGTTTCTCGAGACCCACCATAAATTCTCCTCACTGCGTCTCCTATTCTCAATGTATGAGTAGATGCATTCGTGTGTCACCAACCGTGGGCTCGTGCTGTGCATCCCGAAGTGGATAACTTAACCACGCCTTGGCGTATTCGATATTTCCTATCACGTAGTTAAGCCCAGCGTGCAATACCATCGTTCAGGATCCTCCACTCGTCATTTGAGTCTCCTTCACTGCAACATGGAGCGGATTTTAGATCCGAGGATTTCAGCAATTCTAGTTCAGGAATGAATTAGCTTTCCTAGCCGGGTCTTGGCATGCAATCGTTTTCACAGTTCACAAAGTTTGCCCATTTTATTGTCGTTTTATGCTTTGCTACAATCACGCTAACTTCCTCCAAAGCCGTTGTCCCATGTGGTCATTCGATAGCATCGTTTTTGTCGTAATACGACTATTCGCAATTAACTTATGCGAAGACGATATCCTGGGTAATTCGGTGACGTGTGGTATGGTCTGTATGTTATTTCATCAAGCACTTTTGGGGAGTTAATGGCCCCTTTTAAAATAAAATTGCAGCTCCTACAAGACAATATGCAGGACCATGGAGACTTTGTACCTCCCCGCTTACCTTGAAAGTCCTGAATTCCTCGGCAAAGCTGGCAGCGGTCTGGTTTCGCCTAGTCCCTCGTGAGTGCGCCTGTCTTGTCTTTACTTCAAACCTTAGGTGCTTGCTTACGCGCAGCTGTGTGTTTGTTTTGCATGTAAGGTTTGTTTTCGGAGCTACTTCAGGCTGTCGTATGTACCCTTTTTCCTTTTTAGACGCTCGTTTTTCCCTACCGATGAGGCTCTTTTAAAGTCTGACGCGGAAAACGCCGTTGGTGAGCTTACTTTCACATACTTGCACGTTACTATGTCTTAGACTTGGTTGGATTCGCCATAATGATCCAGTATAATGACTTGTGTTAGCCGACATTCGCATCCTAGCTAAGAAACAATACTCTGGTCTTCCAACGTCATTAGTCCTACACATTGTACTTGTGATTTTAAGATAAATTGGCAAGGAATTATCAATGGGCCCAGTGTCGTCAAGCAGGCGTGAAGTAGCTGGTCTCTTTAAACAACGCTACCAAAGTGGTGTGTTCCTTAACGTGTATTCACTTTTTTTTAAAGCACACTGTATTATTGTGCTTACCCTAATTCGCACGTGCTTGCACCGGGGGGCGGTGTCATCTGAGATTGGCTTGCGGAAGGAACCACTGCTACAACGCTCGAAATTTTATCCCTTATTTGGATATAACGCACAAAAAAGGCCCTAGTTTGCCATTTTCCCACATTCAGCACATGTTTGTGGCTTGCATCGAAATTGGTGCTTCGTAGACTTCTCATTAACTTAATTGACATGTGCGTTTTAACGACACGAACTGACTTGCGACGGTGGTCAAAAAGTCGGTGAACAGACGCGCTCCATGCCAGAATGCAGGCCAATGCGTGCTATTAGGGCCGGTAAACTGTGGCCAGCTGGTCAGAGTTAGTGAATGCTGGTGAAATTAGCTTCGATACCACGCATTCTTTGGTACTTCCCACTTGAGAGTGCCAACGTTATCGAGGAGCTGTAGCAAGGCAACTACCTACTTCTTCGTCAATTGCATCTGGTGATACTGGGCATACTGGTACTCTAATTTGGGGGATTTCATAGCGTAGCTGCACGCATGGTTCTGAGATGGTTGTCTCTTAGGTAACCCTCCAGATCTGACAGGAATGCGACCTCACCATAGCCATCTTTAAGTAGAGTCGTCTAGCTACTTCCAGTCGCAATGCTTTTGAGTTGTATGTGCTTGATTTCAAATTGGCGCGTAGGATTTTGCAATAGCTGCATTCCCATAATGGAATGGGTTCATCTGTTATAGGCACCAATGAATCGGTAATTTCACGGCGGTTCTACAAGTCGCCTGGACACAGCAACTCTTTCAATAACCTAAACGAACTCAATCATCGTGGAGTCGCGTCGACCAACCCAAAAGCCAAAGATGACATGGTAACAACCACGAAAAATTCCAGCCGTCTGAAGTTCCGCCGCCGTGTGTCTGTGGCCCCCCCGACCTCAGAGTCATCGGCTGTCGAATTGGAGGACCTGGATTTCTCCAAGTGGCGCGTGTCGATCCCGTTCTACGCCCCCACCAAAGCCTCCTCCAGGGGCAATCTCATGATGAACACTCTGAAGCCGACGCTTTTAAACCCTTCGCCATCTGAACAGCCTGACTTTTCTCTCTTCAGCTTTTCGTCTTCATGTCAGGGTTACTTTATCATCATTTCCGAACGCGAAGTTAGGGATAAGAAGATCATCAGTAGGGTTCATAGGTAAGCGTGTGTGTTCTTTCAAATCAGGCCACGTGAACAGTTCGAGACAATGGTTTCAGTGGTCTTTTTGTATTCTCCACTCACGTGCACCGTCGTCTGATCGAGTTTGTCTAGCAAAAGTTCTTAATTCATTTTTGCCCACCAATGAAAGCCGATAGCCCACAATGGGCTCACTGCATTTGGAAATGGCAGGTTGCGTTTATTCAAACACTTTTTTCCAAACTTCTGCCACGAAGTGACTGTGGTCAATGCGACGGAGCGGAACAAACCTAAAGCGTTTAAAGGCTATTGGGTTTATTCACCAGACCACTTCATTTCTGGTAACGAACCACGCCTAATTTTAATTGCAATTTCCTCAATTTTGAGGTGGACGTAGACGTGCCAATAAAGCGCCCTTCCGTAATGGAAGCCAATCGTTCGACCTCTTGATCGCGGCATTGTTAGTAGAGACACTGATATTCCAGTCGACGCAGTAGTTGCTTCCGTCAAGGAGTGACCACGAGCAATGGTTAAGCTGCGCCTAGCTAATTTGGGGCGAAGGAATACCGGTATTCACTCTAGTGTTTGTTTGGCCAATTATTGACTTATTTGATTTTGAGTTATTGGAAAAGGGCTATTAGTGTTTGTTGACGGCCTTGACGTGGCTTTATGGTGGGTCGTCACACGCGCGTTTTTGGCGGAAAAATACGGTGCTGGTGAAAAGCACTTATGAGTTCACACGCCCGTTGCCATTGGCTAGTTTAGAAGCACACAAGTAAGTCATGCATTTCGTCGCTTTTTAATCAGCCACTCAAAATTACATGCATGTTGACAATTCGGAGTAGTTGTTGATTTTGCGTTCTTCATGAAAAAGAAGGGAGGTCATTAACGCAAGTAATTGCAAACAAGGCAAAATAAGCCTGGTTTTTTTCCAAAATCAGTTTTGAGCCAATTGCGTTGACTCCTGTCACAAAGACAGGGTGAAAGGTGATGGTGGTGGTGGCCTGGAACAGGCTACGCGAATTAATTCTATGCATGAGTTGGGATTTTGTGTGCCTTGGCAGGAAGTTCTCGGAGTTCTACGTGTTGGAGCAGAGACTGGTTGAGTTTCACGGCTCGCACATTTCGTGTCGCTTGCGCCCGCGCCGGCCTCTTGGTGCCCATTCTCACCAATTCTTGGAGAATATGAAGTCCTACTTTGAACGATTCCTCAGGGTGGGTAATTTTACCCTAATTTTTAGTGACTGCCTGGTTCAGGCCTGTGTGTTCAGGCCTCGCCAGGCTTTTTAGCTTTTTCGTCGACAAGACCTGACTAGACAAGAATGACCCCGTAAATATGCCTGACGTGTTGGGTTTTACGACAAATGTCCCAAAATGCTAAGCACTCCGTTTTAAATTGTTGCGGCTCGGCTACAAGCAAAACTTGTTATGCTAGGTTTTTGGGGTGAATCGGCAAAGGTGTTGTTTTACGAGCGGCTATTTTGGGAAGGTAAACTCACAGCGACAAGTAGGTGAGCCTGGCGTGTTGCCGCAGACAGCTCCTCAACTTGGCGACTACTAGTGGAGACAAATTTCTGCCAAAAACTCACCCGCTCTGATAAATAACAACCTGTTGGCTGATTGATCTGGCGTTCCTCTCTGAATGTCGTCGACGCACAGGCTACAGAAGGAGCAAATGTTGGCCGCCTTCTGGTTGTGTGGATTTTCATGTACAAGATTTCGATGGCTATTTTTTCCTTATCCAATGAATTCAACCTGTCATCTGTTTTTGTATTTGCTGGGACAACCAAGTAAAATGAGCGTGGTCCAAAAACCACAACAATTTTGACCTCAGATTCCTGGTGTTGGATAGCGAATATGATTGCGATTTAAAGTCTTATTCAGTTTTGTGGATATTATGGACTCGATTTCTGTCAATTTCTTGTTGTTGAGGCTTCCAATGCACAATATTTTACGATGATATTGTGGAGTCGTGCGTTTAGTGTGCTCCTAGCCGTGTTGTGCTGTTTCATTATTTAGCAGTTGGTAGCTATTCAAGCAATCGTATCAGCAGGCTGTTTACTTGCACAAGTCCCAACCTTTTGTGTGTGTGTGTGTGTGAGCATGCGTGCAAATGTTGGCCGTCTTCTGTTTGTGTGGATTTTCGCGTACAACATTTTGAAGGCTATTTTTCCCTATCCAGTAAATTTAACCAATCATCTGTTTTAGTATTTGCTGGGACAACCATTCCTGCGAACCAGCGAACTCATGTACACCTTTCTGACGGCTTCCAATGTGGAATTCACGAGCAGCAATCTGCCAGACATTCGCCTTGGCAGGATCGTCAAGTCTGTGCCCATTCTTCTGGCGAAGGAGGTTTGCCTTTGATTTGTAATTTGCGACTTCTGACTTAGTTTCTTTGTCACAATGTGGGAATACCCCACTCCTGGCTCAGTTGCAGTACATCTGCCTCTCTTCCGGCTTGTGTGATCCAAAAACCACAACAATTTTGACGTCAGAATTGTGGTGTTGGATAGTGAATATAATTGCTGTTTGAAGTCTTGCAATGTGGAATGTGAGGACACGTCTTATTCTGTTTTGTGGATATTAGGGATTCGATTTCTGTCAATTTCTTGTTGTTGAGGCTGCCCGAGCACAATATTTTACGATGATATTGTGGAGTCGTGCGTTTGGTGTGCGCCTAGCCGTGTTGTGCTGTTTCATCATTTAGCAGTTGGTAGCCATTCAGGCAATCCCATCAGCAGGCTGTTTACTTGCACAAGTGCCAACGGTGTTTGTGTGTGTGTGTGAACATGCGTGCCTCCATTTTATTATTGCAACCAACCCTCTCCGCCCTGTTGCATCAGTAAACTGTTAATCGTCTTAAAAGCCTCCCCCAACTGTAACGTTCTTTGTAGCAAGGTGGAAAACGCTCACCGACAGTTAAGGCGTAACGAATTAACTTGATAGGATAGGGTATTCTTTGTTTTCGCTTATTTGCTGTAGTGCCTTTCGTGGATTACCACAAGTTGTTCCTGAAGTCAGCTGTCCTGCTTACCGTTGTGATGTGTTCTGGTGCGCGAAACCCCATGAGCATTCACGAATGACTTGGCTCTCCTTAGCAGCCTTACTTTTTTTTTACGTGATTCGTGGAACTGAAGACTGTGGCCTAGCTTCAGATAGTACCCTCTCTACCACTGATTTTCGTTTCTCTTTCATTATTACATCTAACTTCAGGGATGCTTTGTTTGATGCGTTCAAAGCTGGCGCTGTCAAACTTTCCGCCGTGTCCACCCCTTTCTCGCCGTGTTCCACTTGGGATCGCGCTAATTAGCTCCAATGATGAGATAACCACTCACTGACATCGGCACGAGTAGCTTTAAATTGGTCGGGTGTTTTCTGATTGCCAACTGTAGTTTCGAATTTGCCTCGCTGTGGACGATAAAACCATTACTATCGGTGAACACCGACTGCAAAATGCCATTTCATCCTTGCACCACTTGGGCCTAAATTATGTATCTGCTAAATGCCCCTCTTATCAGCCGTGCTTGGTGCATAATCACCAATCGGATTTTGTGTCAATCTGTGGTACAGATTAGTGAAAAACATCAGGACTTTATCTCGCCGACAACTCATCTTCAAGACGACTTGAAATGTGGTTCAAATTTACTGGTTTTTAGTTCTTAAGCTGACAAAATTTTCAGTGTAGTGCTCTTTACCGGTTAAACGGTCGAATTTGTGGATTGTCACTTTCTTTCTAGTTCCTATTCAACCAATCGGTGTCATGTTTACCGAAGAGATTCTTTGGGCACGCCCTAGTTTGTATTTTCGTGTTAAAAAGAAACGCTTACTTTTGCGAATAGGAATGGAATAGTAAGATTAGGGAATGAGTGCAATATTCAGCTTTCTCATTTCTGCTTAGGTGCAATTCTCTGGTCATTCCACTGGTAATTCTAGCACATTTTACTTGGACTTGAACCATATGAGGTCGATGTAGTTAGCCGTTTAGTTTGTCTTACGGGCCATTTAACCAGGTCTAATTATATGCGTTAAAACACCTTACAGCCGTTTCTAAAAAGACTGTTGCGATGTGTTTTCTATCCCCGTTCTCGTTCTTTAACTAAATCATCTGAATACCCGACTACTTTGCTTTGAAAAACCGGCCCCAGGAAGTAGCCTATTGCTTCAACTGTGAGAGAAGTTCACTTATTCCTCCGTTCCATCGACGTTGCAGAATTTTTTTCGTATCCACCCAGTTAGCCGTGGCCTCCGAAATACGCTTCTTCACCAATCGGTTGTCTGCCTGCGATGTACACGTGCTAACACTGCCCACTTGGTTGTATTCAAATCCACGTGTACGGTGATGTGCGTTCTGTTCAAGAAGCCTATTCTTCACGCCTGCTCGGGTGAGGCGGAGTTGACCCCTGCGGTGCAAGTCTTTCTATTTGGAGTTTTGTCATTCCTCTTAATTACCACGTGGTTCGCAACTGCACGGTTGCCATTGTGCGTTGCGTGATTTAGCGTCGTGCTGTGTGTGTGTGTGCGAAATTTTTATGCAAAGACCTCTTAAAGCAGGGCATATACCAACATATTCCAGCGTGTCATTTCTAAAAATTTCCGTTTCGTGGTGCCCCATTCGCGAGCACTGACAGATTACTCAATTGCACTGAAATGTGTCTATCTCTACTTGCGCCATTATCATGTCATCTCATTTATTGACGCTCCCAAGGACTTTGTGCTAAAAGTGGATTTTTGGGTGGCTGCGTTGTTGCCCTATCGACTCCAGTACTTGCCGATGATTAAGCCCACGTTTAATTACCAAATCACTTATTTTCACATAGAAGAGACTTCTACTGACACGCGCATGTATTTTTTTACTGCGTTAAACTCGGCCTTCCAAATTGTTCTCTCTAGTTTTACGCAAATTTCATCTCCACAAGCTCATCATTTTATCAAGCAATTGAGAATGTCGGTCAGTACGATTTTCAAAGCAGACCAAACGCGATACATCGCGATCATTCTCGAGTAGTTGATGAACTGAGTAGTAGAATCGTCATCCACTCCATTTTCTGTTTTTTTTTATTGTTTCTTTCTTCAATTTAATGCTTTCTGTCTTAGTTGCGTGCACTACTACTATCACTGTGAAATGCCAGAAAGTAAATATGTATTTGTGAAATGACCTGCTTCTTGCATGGTCAGACACCCACAGAATGAATCCCTTTCCATATTTCTGACATTTCTGTTGAATGCTGTTCCCTTGTTTAAGCGTTTGGTGACCAATGGTGAACACGTTGGCAGTGTCAACCATGTTGTTCCTGATTTGCGGTGCTTCTCCTAATTTGTATCCGCAAGTATAGCTGCTGGTGTTCTGTTATAGAAAGGACAGTACACAGACGAATTCCTGACGGTCTTCCGGTCCTCCTGTTTCGCCCAGCCCGTCATTGCGCCATCCAGTCAGTCAGCACTTTCCACCAACGGCAGCTCCAATGACCGGGTTGTCCGCACGCCGAATTCAATCCTGGATCGTAGATTGCGATCCAAACTGTACTGGAATAACGCGGGCATTTCAATTCTCCAAAAACATTTGCAAACCTCGAAGGTAATGCACCACTTTAACATCAAACCTTTTCGTCCGTTTTAATGGGCCATTCCCACTGACCAGCCGTCTGTAAATTTGAACCTTTCTTAAACGACTTCTGCCACGCCTCAGGAAGGTGTTCCTGCCATCCACTTCCATTCCACCAGCATTTTAAAACCTTTTCCGTTGTCGGCATGTCCGACATCTAGGACGTCAACTTCACGTGACACCGTTTGATGTCGTCTTTTGTGAACTTGTAAAATCTGTGTACGAAGGGGATTGAAAAAGCGCGTTGTCGGATTTCAGCGACCGAAATTGTAGTGCTGTGTGAGGTGTAAAATGTCAAGTTAATGGATGGAGATGGGATTCCGATGCTGCCAACAAATCTGCCTTTTGGGTGGTAGCCTCGGATGCCTAATGGTGGAAATCGAGGTCGACGAGCCTAGTACGTTGGTGGAATACTTTAGTCCTGATTTTATCGGAAAGGCAAGGCATGTGGATTCCACTGTTAAAATCTGCACCTTAGTCTACGGCGGACGACTTATGAGCGTCCGAAGTGCGATTGGCAAGGCGAATTTGCCTCCCTCCATTGTCGTCAGCTCCTTTTAAGCGCTGAAAGCGAACCGTCTTGTAATTGCCCTTGATTGTTACTCTTGTGGCATTTTCCTTCAGCCTGGGTGGGGCTGTTTTGTCGCCTCATGGACATATTCCAACGGAACAGTTGGAGGCTTGTACGGAAATGTTGCAGACGCTTTCTTCGTAGGACTGCCAATGTAATATCATCACCCAGTGTCATTCCATCGACAATATTCACCCGAATTGACCTCACATATTTTTACGTCATGGCTCTGTCTCTCTATATACCCCCACCTTAGAAGCTGTTCCCATAAATGCAAAGCTTGAATCGATGTCCGCTCGTCAGATCATCCTTTTTCCTGAGCATTCAGCCCTGTAGTGTCTATCTATCTCTTGAAGGCGGTTTCTGGCAAAGTAACTTTAAGTGATGTGGCAACGAAGTGGGTCTTTTGCCCGATTCGACTTCACGTGGCGCTGTCGGTGATGGTGCTCGGCAATTCAAGTCGCCAAAATTTTGGCAATCACCTAAAAACAGGAACGCTGTTGGCTGGCGTGCCTGATCTGTCACAATTTGGGGCACGCGTCCAGCAAGCTTTATGCACGCCTGGCACTTTTTAATGATCAACCCTGCTCTTGCACCATTTAATCGTTATAAGACGACTGCTGTTTTTAGTAGGCCACCAGCTTGTGGTCCAGCGTTTACGACAGGCCACGGTTCCATTTACGAGAGCATAAAACTGAACCTGCTTTCAACACCTGTCAAAATTTTGTGTAGGCTGATGCTCCAACTTCCAAAGCCAACCCCAGAGTGGTATAAAACCACCTACTCTCTCACCTAGCCTGATTTGTCAGTGGTGAAATATTCACTCACCCCTCCTCGTGTTTCAGTATTGTGCCATGGAGGGCTCCTACGTGACGTGCTTCTATGACTTGTTTGGCTACCTGGTGGATAACTTTCGCAAACCTACTCCAAAGAAGGCATCCGTTGAAGGAAGTGCGCCCTTCACTGATCCACCGCCTACCCCGCCTCCTTCTGACTGGATCGGAACACTTTCGGCCTTGAATTGGCTTCGTCACACTGCCAGCGTCTGCTGGACCGCTCTCAAGGCCTACTGGTACGTATTTGCCTGCCCATGCTAAACTCCCAGTGACTTGTGCAACATACGCATCGGTGTTACTATTTACGAAGTCTGCTCACTTGCCTGCACCAATGGCCATCTCTGTGGTCGCCCTAGCGTGCACCTTAACCGTCAGTTTCCCGAAGCTGGAATATTCGTGATTCCAGATGGGCGTCTTGTATAAGTTATTTTTCTTTAGATTTGCTCCTAACTGTCGAGTTTTTGTATGTCTAAGGCTGCGCCATGTCGATTTGAACCGGCACCACCATCTTCTTTTCCTGGTCATGAGATCTTGGATCAACTTAATCCATTGTTTTCATCGACGTAACGGAACGCATTCTCCGTGCTCAGCTTTAGCAGTGACGCTGATTTTATTTTCAACCTTTTAAGTGACCCAATTTTATTGCCTTCCGGGGGAGAGGTTTAATTTAGAGTAGACCTAATGATAACATCACTGCGAAATAAGTTTCCACACCGGGACACCGGCAATCTAGATCGCACTAAATTGCTAAACTAGCCTTGATTCTTGCTTATCGTGACGCCTGTAGGTACGATATGATCGATGCTCTGCGGCGCAACGGTTGGCTCCCAAGGAGTGTTCGGCAGGACGTTAGCCGATCCGTCACTTCGAGCGCCGTTGTCGATGAATCGCCCACAGGGGCCTCTCTCCCAAGTCTCCTTCGTCGCGCCATCATAAACGTAGGACTGGCGTTGCGGCCGACCTGGTTCCACGCCCTGGCAGACCTCCATTTGCGGAGCCAGGTAGATCAGTTCTTGCACCTCCTGGTGAGGAATGACTACCTGGCCCCGATGCTCCTGCTTCTTCGAGGTGCGTTCCTTCATCAAACAGTCTCGTTCTACTCTTTTCATGTAGCCAAGACGGGCGATGTTTCGCCGGCCTCAAACGCAAATGCGCTCTAGTTGATAGACCTGTCTGCTAGCCGTGAGCTGTCCCCATGATCTTAAAGTAATGCTTTCACGTTTGAAGTAGGACATGTTGATTGTGCAATTTTCCCAAAGCCCACTGAGCTACGATTAAATCATTTTAGTGCAGTTGACGTGAACCCGCTGAAACAATCGTTAAAATCGCAAGACGCACAAGCAGTCATGAATGACGGTTTTGATTATGTGCAGCATTTCTAACATTTCAATACTGACATGTCGCAGGCTCTACGCTACTCCCGAGTGATGTGTCTGTGTTCTTTAGATTCCATCTTCTTCCCGGCTCCGCCAAGGTAAGTACACACTCCCCACCTTGCTACTGAACACCTTTATCACGTCTGAGGGATCAAGTGAGCACGCCATTCTTTCCCCTCTCTTTCTCTCACTCAGGAGTGATCGGGAGAAGGCGGCGAGGCGCGAAAAGGTCTACGCTGGATTGCGCAAATTGACAAGCCGTGAGTAGATTCCCTTGTGTTTCACCTTTGAGTCCTCACCCACACATTCGCCCTCCGTTGGCACAACGTGAGCGCACAACAAGCCAAGCCTCTTTTTTTCTGGTTGCAGGTTTCCATTTGCAGTGGTTCTCTGAGGACGACACGTTCCAGCGTCGCCTTGGACGAGCCGTCGAGGTTTTCCAGCACGGGAAATGGAACAAGCAATTGACCTATGTCCTCCTCGATCACATCCTGGTAGCCCTCTTCCCAGATGTCTTTACATCACCCGCCAAGACCAATGATGATGATGATGGTGATCCCCCCGAGTAATCCCCAATCCCCGCCAATAATGCTCATTTGTATTTTTTTGTCTGTCTATGTATACTGTCGCTCGCTTAAGATATGTTCTGTGATTTTTAATTTATCAGATCGTATATAAAAGCCTGCTTTTTTCTACCTTTGAAGAGTTGGTTTTGGGGGCAGGACATGCTAGTATCTCAGTCAGTGCGATTTGAATTGGTTTTGCAAACGTGTGGGGACAACTTCAGTTCAACGTAACCCGCGCTAATTTGGTAGCGCAAAAGCATCTAACAGAGCTGCCTAAGAAGTGTTGTTAACGAACTTGGCTGGGTTGCCGTGATTACGCCCGACAGATAAGTCTGAGGTAGACTATGCGGCGATAAGCGGATTTGTCATGACGGTGGTTTGGGCGTAGAAAACGTCTTAGTGAGTGCACTGTCAACGGCCAGGTTTGTAAGTCAAATCACACGTCTCAAAACTGAAATTGGGAGATCGGATAGGGTGCTGTGGTGGACGAGGGACGAGAGCTACTCAAGTCCAAGCAATCTGAAATTCCGGTTGGAGAGCCTAAAAGGTAGAAGAGGAGCCGTGAAAGCGCATTTTCCCAAAACACGTGAATTCCGAGATATTAACGAAATCTCAGATGTTCACGAATTGCGCACAAGGCGTGTTTGTGTTGAAAGCGCTGTGATAGGCGACCGATTGTCAACGCGAGTGTGCGTGCGTGTGTGATGTGACGCTGTGATGACGCCAGCAGGTGCAGCGGATTGTCCTGGAAGCGGGATATTCCGCCTGCCAAGCTGACCAAACCACGAGAGGAAGCTCTTAGCACATCACACAGAGCCAAACACGTACGGAAAGCACATCGCCAACGAGGTAAACACTGCCAGTCACCAAGACTTGAATGGCCTTCGGTCTCGCTGCTCCGCAGTTAAGCTTCAGGCGCGATTCACCGTCCCAACCTTTCAGGGTCCTGATGAATGGGACGACTTCGGCGTCAGTCAGCTCCGATGCTGGCGTCGACGTGCCCAAACGATCCCACGAGGCTTTGCAGGCGGCCGCGTTGGGAGTTTTGCCGAAGTTCCTTACTGCAACAGAACACGTTGACAGCGACGATTAAGTAGGAAAAGGAGGGTCACCAAACACAAAGCAAGAAGGTAGTAAAACTATTTAATGACTTCAAAAGCAGAATCGGTGGCGTTATTTTACTTGTCAGTGAGGTTTTGAGACGACTGAATTTATGCACAAGCCAGAAATTGGGGGAACAAACATACCCAAGTTGCTGCCTTTGAAGCCTGAGAAGTGGACGGCGTCGAAATTGTGTACCTAGTATAAAATATTACTACTGAAAAGATTAAAGTACGATGACTACGAAACAACTACTGGCTGAGACCAAAGCCGAAGAGCATGAGAACTAAAGTGGACAAGTCAAAGCAAGAACACACTAAACATGAACGTGCAAGTGCTTCCACTCACTTATTTGCTTATTTCCACGACAGTGCGTCGTGCGAAAGCTGTCGAGGTCACCCGGTGGTCATCAACCACCAATAAACAAAAAAATCAGGGACAATGAAACTGCCAACACTCTTGGAAATCGAAACAGTTGGTTAGCATAGGTGTTACGTAGAATCTCACCTGCAAGAGCTCAAGCATTGGTCCAGGGTCACGGGTCCCAGTTACCGTGAAGAGCAGAATCCGAATTATCTGGGTGCTAGATAAAAAAACCAAGTGGATCGCAGTAAAGCGAAACGTTTACAATTACCGTGGGGTGGAGGTGGCCATTTCGCTAGCAGTATTGAACCAATTTGAGCAGTGCTAAAAAGGAGACCACCGGTGGTATTAGGCAAGTTGTGGTAGGGTAACGAGGGCTCGACACGACGAGTAGAAAAAAAAACTGGAAATTACTATGAAACGCGACGCGGGGAATTGTGCGCACACTGGAAAGCTATCCCCACGAGCCTCTTGGGGTTAATTTTAGTAGCCTGGTTCGTGATTCATGCCTTTTTTGGTGGATAGTATTTGGATACAGAAAGAGTGGTGCCCGGAACACAATGGTCATTGGTGTGAGTGGGGAGGCTGAGAAAGGGATTTGGGTGACGCGTCTGGGATACCACCATTTGAGCTACCTCATGCCGAGACTAGGTTAAGTCGAGTGACACCTAACCTCGTGTAATGAGCTTGTCGCAATTAAAAACCAGGGGATCGTTACAAAGGTATAGTAAGAAAGAGTGATTTAAGGAATCATTTTATGCATAAAACGTCCGATGTCACTTCTGATGTGGTATCAATGACTCTAACATCCGATTACAGCTGCCGATACACCGACTAAACCCAAGTAGGCAATAACTCCGTGGACGTTCGCGGAAGTTCACATTTCTATGCAGAATGAGTAAATATTTAATTTTTTTTGTTTAAAATTAGCATATGCAGCAAGATCAACAGCTGATCACCTTGATGCTGTCGGTTGTGTGCGCACAGTCGAGGAAAAAGGTAACACTTTTGGTCACCTGAACCACCTGGAACCGTCCAACCACGCGCGCCGAGAGGATTCCTGCAGGGAAAGAAATGCGGCTGAAGGCGTCGGTTTTCCTGGATCCAGGAATACTGCCGATGCGGGTTACACAGAAAGCTCATGGCGAGTAGAAGGACATAGACAGAGAGACAGGGATGTGGGCTGCGCGAATAAGCGCTTTCGTGTTTTATGCAAAGCCAAACTGATTGAAGCCAAAGCCACGTGTGTAAGGCATTAAATGTCAAACATACGTTGAAGATATTCGAAGGAGTTGGTTGTTCAACGGAATCACATGAGCACACCGGAGGTACCAGTTTTGAGTTTTTAAACAAAAAAGGACGAGTTAGAACGATGCAGTATGGCGCGTTGATAGGACCGCTTCAACAGCAGCAGCTTTAGTTCCACGATAGCCCCATTTTAAATTCACAAGGAACTATAAGACACGACTCGACTCTTATTCGACAGAACCGACTGATTTAAAGGTACGACATCAAGCGAGATTTGACGGCATCAGATCAAGGGGAGCTACTCCATTGATGCATGATTACTCGGACTCAAACGCAGACAACTTTCCCCGTGTATCTTGAAAACTGGATGAGGTACAGCAGTGAAATTATAACAAAAACGGCCTGGGATTACTCCTTCATTCGAAACAAGCTTGTTAAGAAGGCTTGAAGAACAACAACGTGTTATTTTAGAGGTACATCAAGACTTTTTTGTTTGAATCGGAGGAAGGAGCATTTGCGTAGAACAGAAATATGTGCTAAACGATGCAAGCAGCAAACATAGTTACCTGAAATTTGACTTGTCGTGGGACACACGGGCAATGTGGGAGTAATCGATGGATCTAAACGACAAACAGTACTTAAACCGGAAGTGGAAGTAGCCCACATCGGTAAAACTTTTATCGCTTTTGGAATGGTGCGTTTTGAGCCCCAAATTTTGGCATTCATTCTAGAAACTAGGAAATATCGCGCCTGAACGCGCTTGGTAAGTGACGAGACTAATGAAATCTATGTATTTATTTATGCCTTTACAAGAGTTGTTGGGTGTATCATTGCAGACGTATTGGCACAGAAGACCCATCTTCAACGACACACCCTTTGATAGCTAAAACGTTGATTAATGCTTGGGTAAATATCTGAGTGTAACACAAGGGTCCCATTGAATTAACTTGGCATTACATAAATCCAGTTATCAAAGGCCTATAAAAAATACGATAGTGATGGTTCACGTGCGTCAACTTCTGTGGCAGCGTACTCAGACACTGCGACCACTCCCTTCTCTCAGCGGTTCCGCCATCAAGTTGGCACATGGGATTATTGTAGTGCCGTACTAGGGCGCAGACACATTGGATTACGCTGAGTGTAGCTAATCCTGTCTCTGGTCGCTTGAGTGGCCTAGGATGAAGATTAGCTGCTAGCCAGAAACATAGATGGACGAGAAGCACCAGACTCGGGCGGACGGCGGCTGACGGACGGTTCTGGCTTGTGATTGGCCAAAAAGCCCTAACCTATTTTACCAGTCTTCTTCACACTAGAGCCCGGGTATTCTACCTTATACGCTCTACGTGCCCATACCCCTTCTGCTACTCACACCACACATCCAACCGATAACCCGCACCCTATTGGTCGACAACCTCTGTTAGTCATATACGACCTTGAATGCACACACACATGACAAAACACGACAGTGTTGAGCTACCTAATAAACGAATCTACCTCCGTCATCTCCGGTCTTCTTAGTCTTCCTGGGTATCAACATAGTCCAATCGGGTCACAACTCCCATAACTGCCTAGTGTCCTGTATTTAATCGCCTTGGCGCAAAATGGAGTGGCATTGAGTCAACCATAAATTGGACGGCCAAGATATTACAGGTGTGAATCAGAAATTACTTAGGTAACCCGACTATTACTTAATAAATTCACGAAGTGTGGATTAAGATGTGCTCACCAGGCAGTGGAGCGACTTCAGGCGCCTGATCGTGCCACAGCTTGAAGGCCGCTAGGGCAAGACAAATGTTGCGCTCAGTTACCGGGGGTACGCCCTTTTCGCGCACTAAATCGGCGAAACGCTGCGAGACCTCAGCACCACCGTCACGTTCGATTTCCTGCCAAATGTCCACGAATCGGGGGGCAACGAACAGCGGGCACTAGAGGGGTCGAAGTACAGAGAGTGCTTAAAGAAGTACAGGGATTGGGAGGCTGAGAAGGGAGGGGGAAACGGTAATTGTAGCGCTTACGCCGACACTTCGAGCTTCCTCAACAAAAACCTGCATTGCGTCGTCTGGTTGGTTGGTCGCCACAACACCTGGGACTGCAGGCTAGAAAAGCAACAACAAAAGCATCGCTCATGTGAAAACCGCCTTCAACAGCGCAAAACAGCAGGTTTTTTGTGCTGCCAAATTTTAAATCTGGTAACACTGTTCGCGTCGAAGGTGACCATTTGCTATTCCAACGATCGACTGCACAAAGACCGTGGCTCACCGATTAAATTGACATAATCAAACGACTGGATCACGGAGTTAGGTCTAGACTGCACGGTATTGGATCAAAATCGACTTTCTTGATTTTTTCAGTGCCGTTCACCTTTAGTACTTTCGCTGCCATCCCGTGCTGCTTTATCACATTCGCTTTAAACGCATTAAATGAATTTTGGGTTTAAAAATCGATTTCTCGATCAATAGCTTTGTAAGTGTTAATTTCATTATGTGTTACCTGGTTGAATAGAACTTGGATCGCCCTTTATAATCAAGTAACGTTTCCGAACTAGAAGCACTAGAGTGATGTTCCAGCCCCCTGAAATGCAAGCCAAAGAGTTGATAATTTTGCCACATATCGGACGCACTTCGAAAATATAACCAATCCGATTGTCTTGAGGACAAATGACCACTCATGGCCCAATCACCGTTGGTTGTAGTTTTTAACAACTGAACTACTTCAGACCAACCAACTTCGGTGAACGAGCGCTTGCTCAGAAAGCCCAGTATCACAAAACCCTAATTCAGAAGTGCATGCTGCAGGTAAGTAGCGAGCATCACACTGAAAGTGGTGGCAATGATGGAAATGAGCCATACCTTAAAAATTCCAGCCTTATTCCATGCAACTTCGCGTATCGTGCTGCCCAGTTTGTCCTTGTGTTCCAGCTCAATCGAGGACACGGCCACAACGCGGGGGTGCCTGCAAATGCAAAAAAACGACGACAATAGGAGTCGACGAGGGTCTTTAGCGGTTCACTAGTCTGCGCTCATCCCACAATCTAAATTCGTTGGCACAAACTCCAGATGCACTGTAAGCAGGCTTTTGTTATAAGGTGGGTTGGTTAGTTGCTGTACGCTCTCTGAAATGTCAGATGCAGGCACACCTCATAGGATCCTACATTAAATCAACGGGTAAAACGTTGTCCAGGAAATTCAACACCAGCACTTAAAGACGCCTTCAGCATTGTTAAGCTAGAATTTCTTGGCAGCAGTTTTTAATTTACTGGAAAAAGAAACATCAAAGGCTGGGTGGTGAGTGGATAACGCATGAAAATAAATTCTACTGAACTGAACCCAGTACACACGAAGACGTAGAGCAAAGCTCATTGAGGGTAAATTAAAGGGGTAATAAGAGGACAGAGTGCTTCCTACTGGACGACGTTGGTATGATCATATCGTCCACCCAATCCGACCTCAACGACAGCCACGTCGACCTATGAAAAAAAGAAGCAAGATAACGTTTAGAGTAGAAAAACGTAGTGGGTAAGGGTGATTGTTTAATTGGTTTTACACAAAAATACTGCAAGGAGAGAAATGTCGTACTAGGCACGCAGGTTGTACCGTGGGTTGCATGAAGAAGTCAAGGCTATTGATCCTATGAGAATGCCTCTGTTATTGGTTAAATATTTTTTAGACATTATTTCAAAATGTTGATTCCAAGGTCATTGAAAACCACAGTGAAGCCTAGAACTAAGATAATATGCGACCCCGAGTGTTAAACAATTCGTACGGTATTCTAATGAGTAAGGCCTTAACAGCATTCTGTTATCTAGTCCGTGAAATGCAATTACAGAATACGTTTCAAACAGTTCTGGCTTGTTAAGTTAGTTACATTTGCTAAGACTAACGCCAAACACGATGCACCTATGACAAATTTTATCAAGATGACATTCGAAGACAAAAAGGCATCAAGAACACTGGCTTTGTGGATGATTTCATGACATCGCAACAATGCGCCGAGGCTGGTATGTGAGCTTAAGCATTAAAGAGCCAGTGTGTACAGTGAGTCCTTCAGACTTGGGCTTTACACACAAACCACATTTTCAGACCATCGAACACATACACACACACACAGGATGCATCCATTCATAAATCGACAGACATGCGAAGTAAATAACCCAGCACCGCATTCAGACTATTGATAAATTGCGCACGCCCCGATCCAAGTTTATACAATAACTACCTAACAGCCCACGCCTCAATGTAATCATAAACGGATTCGGGGGTGTACAAAATGACTCCCCGAAGTCGAATCATGCGGTGCCGTTCAAAGGCAAAATGCAGTGCTATTCACTACGTCCTTCCCCAAGCATGAGTACCTCCAACAAGACCACTCAAGTGATGTCCGGTTCTCAAAGGGAACCAGCAGTAAAGTGCAAAAACAATCGACGAAAAAGACACATTCCATTCAATTGTTCTCTTTTGCCGTCGCCAGCTCTGCCTTTGTGGCTAGGACGCATAGTTAGTTTAGCATTCGTGCTTTCGATGGAATCTACGTGGTTCAAACAGTATTGTATACGACCAACTCGATCTAACCACTGAGTGTCCATCAAATAATCGCATTTCATCCGGCGTTTGGTCCCAACACACTCCCGGAACAACCTAAAAACCGCCCAATATTGCGCTTTTTCCTCCGTTCACTGACGATGGTGATGAGAACGGAGGGGACAAGTAAGCTCCTATATTAGCAGGATTGCAAACTTAACGCCAAACCACTAATTCTCATCAGCAAGTCAGAGGGATATTGGGAGACTTAGACGAGTAAAGAGAATCGTGGTATTTTGAAAACAAGTCAAGAAACGATCCAAGATTGCTTGGGTACCTTCATAAACCACAATAGAATAGGTGTGGAAAATTACCTTCTCCGCCAAAAAAATGTGATAGGCCAAAGTGATGATGAAGGAAAGGTATCCAGGCGCACGGATTCCACGAAACATATCCTGTTAATACAAAATCAAGCATAAGAAAGCTAGCGCATCCTATCCAGATAGAGAACGGCAAGCGAACGGAACCAGAAACTGGCGCTTTCAGTAAACCTTGGCTCACACGAAGCAAAAGTGCAGTAGTACTGTGAAGAAACTACTGGAACGATAGCATTTGTTCAGAATTATCAAAAAACCCATTAAACGAATTGACGGCCAGTGCTAATTTAAACGGGGTGCGATGTATGTTGCTAACCAGAGTAGAAAATGCTTAAAGGAATTTCCCTTATGCTAATCCACGATTACAAATGTAAACAAACAAGAACGCGGCCCTAAACTTACTTGCCTGGTGGAACTCAAAATTACACCTCTGAAGTTAAACGCTCTAACATTATAAACACATTGAATGATAAATTGATGAGGTATGAAGTAGCACGTGGGCCTGGGCATCTTGGCACGCGGTACTCGAACTTGGGAGAGGGAGGTTGGGACAAACGAACGCGATAGTGGTCACTAAACTGTACACTTAACTTTGGGGCACTTAACACGCTTAAATACTTATCTGGATTATGACACTGTGACCGGTGCATTTCTTTAGAGTGATTTTCATTCAAGCCCCATTTTGGATAATGTAGTGTTTAAAAAATTGACAACCTTTGCTGTGCTATAGATTTATGCAGATAAGTTGCTGTGATTAATAAATTTTACTTCACGTACAGAACAATTACAACCGCAAACAAATACGTCAACTTTTCATGGATCTATAGGACGTCATGTGCCTATCTGACCATTGGCTTCATGTAAGCAGTCAAAACAATGCACTTTTACAAAACCATCCGACGGAACCACAGATGTCTGCAATAAATCACATATTGGTCGAATATTCTTTAATAAAAGGAGCAATAGATCGGGCTAGTCAATTTCGTAATGAGTCATATGTGTGGAAAAAGAATGTGAATCAAGTCCACAGAAAGTATTCCACCGGCAAAATATTTAGAAGTCAAATTACGAAGAGATCATTCTGTTTTAACTAGGACTACACTGGTGCAGAAGAACTAAATTTATACCAACCTTATAAATCTTTCCTATTAGTTGCAGTTTAGTTGATAGAACATCGGGGTTTTTTCATTTTATCGGTTAATTTCGGAAAAAGCAGCGAATAATCTTGCTTAATTTTACTTTCACATTAAGTTTGCTCTAGTTGATTGTGCAAATAATCCATCGGAACTTGTGTATCACAATATTTAGGTATGTACTTATATTAAACTCTGCATACGCATTACAGAACTGCTTCACTAATTTAATTTCAGTAGGGATTAGCCAGTTAAGAGTTAAAGCACACAAGAAATATTTTAGTTCTAAATATAATATTTATTACTGTGCAACTTAAAAGAAAGGGATGATAAGGGCTTATTTTAAAAGGCCGTAAAACCCAGGTAGTTGTAAAGCTGGATTGGACCTACCTTGTTTGCGTTGAATCTGTCGAAAAGGATCCAAAAGTGTTTTGCAAAAAGGCTTCGTTCCACAGGTTTCCCATTTATTCGTATACGCTCTTCGACGTTGATAAGATGCGGCGAACTAAAATAATTGCTTGACAAGTCATTTTTAGATTATGAAAAGCAAGAAAATAAATTAAAAATAAGTCAGTATTTCGCGGACTAAAGTGTTTCCATTAGAAATAAAAAGAATACGCCAACATTCCTTACTAAACTCGGGATAGAAATTAGTAGCATAAATAAAAACCAATGGTGACGGAATGGGGATAGTTTTTCGATTATAGTTGTTCTGTTAAGAACTCAAAATACTACTTCCATGTAACGAAATTTGACGCCACAATATTCCCACGAAATCGATTGTTTACCCAAAGTCCACACTATTAGGGCACAACTACAGCCCATCAATAAATAATAAAATAACCGTAGTCTTACGTGATAAGACCGGTTCGATAACCTTCATGGCGAAAAAGGCTTTCTAAATATGAGCAAGTTGAGCCTTTCCCTTTCGAACCAGCTACGTGTACAATGTTCAATTTATCCAAATCGCTCAGCTAAAGGGAATATTAGCAAAATGTAAATCACACCGTAAGGCCAGACGCTTTTAAATAAGTCCTCTGTATCTGCATTCTTATATCAAGCGGCTCCGGCAGACAGTTCCGATACAGTTGTAGCAACCTATTAAGCTCATTCAATGAGGCCTTGAAAATAACCGTAAATGTAGACGAACCTCATATGTTTGTCTGGTCATTAAAATTAAATTAAGAGTCCCTGTGCAAAGATATCTTGTAACGAAAAACGCCGAATATTCAACCCCGTACAAAAACCCGCTTAACCTTGACTCTGTCTTCTTCCTAATAGGCTGATTTATCAGTACATTACTTTAAATAATTTTACCAAATAAAAACGTGACTTTCTTTACATATTATCTGCAAAATATTGTTACTTGTCCTTTTTCAGGAGGAAGACTAATTGTTTGAATTTGCATTAAGGTTTGGTGCATGTCGACTTTATCCTCACCGTTAATGTATTCAGAAGTCTTTGAAAGTTAAGGAATGCCTTTCGATAGTAACTAATCTGGGATCACTTTGAACCAGACACTGTTCGGACACAATCACGTAATGCACAGTATTTGTACTTCAGAGGAAGCAAGAGGGAATCTTTTTGACAAAACATGAATTTTAAATTGATCATAGCATTGCGTATAAGTCTAAACTTGATACACTGCATATATTGTAGCCGTTTTTCAAAAATTATTGCCACTTTTCACTTACTTGCTTCCTTTTTAGGACACCTTATTTCTGTATGCCCCCAAAAGTCCATACTAAAAAAACATAGTCGAATCATGACTTACTTTAACTCCTCAAGTTTGCATTTATCGGTGATTTCACTCGTGGCTTTATTTAGCAATCTGCAATTTTTCGTGTGCTCTAGCGAGTCATCCACATGAGCACTTTCCATGTCATCATTGTTATTTTACACGATGAATATATTTATAAGGAAAATGAACATGTTGACAGATAAACTATTTGAAAGTACATGAAGATAGTTTCTTTTGCGTTTATGTTACCAGTGTGCATAATTGTCCCAGCAGAACCACAGCATGCACTGACAGAGGCTTGCAGCATCCTAAAAAATGACTGGTGATCATTACTCCATGGTTATAAAGACAATGCATACGTTTGAGTTATTTCAAAAGATTAAACTTGGGAGGGAATAGTAACGTTAACTTAACGACTAAACTTATTTCAAATAAAGCTATCAGATATGACCACGATATTGTTGACTTATTGTAAGCTTCTCGTTCCAAGTGTACCTGAAGGCCATATGGAGACACTGTAACACCTATTATAACCTTTTAACAATAAATTTACTTATTATTGTAAGCAAGTACTTGGAACAATGTCTTAATTAATTTTCTCCTGTACATTTTATTCATGTGAGAAAGACAGGATTAATGTAATATAAATTATGATTTGAATCTTTAAACCTAACAGGCCGTAGTAGGTATTTAGGTCGTAATCACTAAACGTGGAAAAGAAGGTGCTGCATTACCACTGCTCGAGTTGAAATCACTTTTGAAAAAATTGTGGCTTACCGAGCTCAGTAAATTTAAAAAATGGGACACTTGTCTAATAAATTCTGTGTTATCAAACATGCTTAACCGCTTTAGTCAGATATCTTTCCTTCACACTATGATTAAACTAACAAATGTCCATAAAATTTTAACCGAGGCCTAGAAGGAGAACATGACCAGCAGCAAATATTTAGCAACACTCCTCAATACCAAGACTTGAAGTAATTGCATAATAAATAGGGCAACACTCATTGATGACTAGTGGTTTTTTACTTCTGTTCAAATGTTCACCGTACAAATCTTCTTTCTCCACCAATTGCAAATCGTTATATTCTGATCATCCATTCATAAAATCATCTAAAAATTTTCCATGGGATTACCTTCTTGTTAATGAAGTTATTAGTATCCTGACAACCAACTACTCAACACAGTGATTATAACAGTTCGATTTACTTTGGTCTGTTCATTCGAGTACTCAGGCGACAGTGTCTGAAAAATGACGCTTTTCTGCATTTTTTTCTCATATGTGTTCATACCAACGCCATTCTAACCTATCTTTGTCATTTTCTGGTCTTCGGGTCAAGATCGTTCAAAGATGCACACATGTAGCATGCTGATATGGCATCTTGACTTCAATCCTGTCACTGAGTCAGCAAAAACCTTTTAAATACGAGGTTTTGCCCGGTCCTTGTGCTGAGATAATGGTGACTCACTCTTTGACAAGACATTCGCACGATCACACTCTGCGAGTGTGTTTCCATTATCGGGGTTTAGGGTTCAAAAATCTGCATCAGTCAACAACGGATAATTCTAGTTAGGAAGTCTGACACCACAAAATTCAAACCAATCATTTCATTAATATTCTGTCGTTACAGTGGTAAATGAGCTACGAGGACTAAATGCGTCTGTGTTTAGATATTACAACATATTTGAATGCCACAGGTCAGGTGTGCTGCAGCAAGATGCCCTTTACAAAAGTACACAGCTCAATGCATATACGAACGTCCTGTTGCTTTGAGAGATTTTAAAATACGCAGGTTTTCGAAGACAAATATTTACGAGTACTTTTTGAATAAATTGGATCCTGTGATTACATTATACTTGAGTAGGTTTTCTTAAACGTGACTTGAGGTGTTTCTGTCGACCACCTTTCTCCCGCACAACAGTAGCGATTCAATTCTCCATACAGCACACTCAACAACAATGATTCAATCACCCTGCCGTTTCCGTGAAACTTTAAACGACGGAGCTTTTAGGTGCTCTACAGTCAAAGTCGAGGCGTCGCTGCAACAAATACCCGGATTAAGAAATCGGTTGATGACTGTTACGACTGATGATCACGGCAAATGTTAAAATACGCCTTTTTTGCTGCACCAAAGTATGACCTCCACAATTTCTGCATTGCAGTAGAGCAGTTAACTTTTCGTTTTTCAGTTTAGCTCGTGCCGTTCACAATTCCCGCCAACAGTCGCGAAGTAAACCAGAAAAATTACCCCAATTACATGGTTGGTGGATTAACTCCAACACTTTATTTTTCCTTGTTTCCGTGTTCAAATCTGAAAAACAAAATTGGAAGTGATGTACAATCAGAACCAACCAAACTGCACGTAAAATAAAACATTCAAGCAAATCTTGAGTAGTTGCTTTTGTCGAAAATGAATCGATCTAATAGGGAATTTGACCACTGAAATTCTGAACATTCTATAGATAAAATGGAACAAAGTGTAATTAAGTCAAAGTGGATGCAGGAATCCTCAGGATGCTTCGGGTTCAAAATGTAATTTGTTTTTTTGACTAGTCAATTGTGACGCCCACAAGGATGTAAGGTTAAGTGAGCAGAATGCTTTAATTGTTTTTGTTATCTTTGTCTGCCGCCAAGTTCAACGGGAGCTGGCCTTCAACTTCTGAGCACACGCAGTACAAAAACAAAGCCACACCAAGGCCTCAATTAGCAGACAACACCGTTCACTGCGCTTAACTGCTTCACAGTTATTTGCGACCTTTCAACTTAGAGCATGAAATTTCAGAAATCGATTTGACCTTAATTTGAACCTTAAGGGTAGACCTTATCTGCAAAATCATTGCCAATTCTGCTGAAGTGGTTGACCCAAAATATCAGAAATTTCATCTAATTTAGATTTGTTAATCCTAAGTGTTATCAGCATTAGTTACGGCTTATTGAATCACGAGCCAGCGCCATTGGAGTACCGATCTGGTACTTGCGTAGTGTCATGCAGCTAATTCGTCTGGTACTGTGTTTGTGCCCAAAAAGAGCTAAATGTCTTACAGGCAGCAGTCCCCAGTCAGATTCACATAAACAAACCCCACTTTTTGTAACAAAACAGATTTCTATTTATTATATTGTCTGGATGACTGGGGAGTGTTAAAGAACATAACAAATAGGTTTTCAACTGCGTCCTATGATGGAAACATTTATGTTTATTTATTAAACCTTACCAGAGCCACAAGCGCTTTGGTATTGTGTTCTTCTAGCCTCACTTCCTGCCATATTTACTCCTAATTGCTTCGAATTTTTATGGAAAATTCCCACTAGGAGGAGCTTTCTTGAAAAGATCAAATTATTCAGTGGAACAAGGGAGCATATTAATTAACGGCCTTTTGTACTGAAAGTTCAGTTCTGGAAAGCCATTGGTTAAGTCGTGTACAACGCGAAGCACCAAAAGAGGAAATGAGACAAGAGAGGAGATGCAGATAATGCAGTGACCGCTTAGCTGTACAGGTAACAAGTCGTCAGTTTATATAGGATCGATTAATAACGATCCCTGAACGAACGCAGTTACGTGAAGGGCATTCAAGGTAATCGATTGAACCGTGTTTGCTCACCTCTTGCTAACTGCGTTCCGTTGTCGCCGCACCATAATTGATTTTTTGCCAAATGCTATGTCCAAATTCTATAATGGATACGTTTGTTAAAAGTAGTTGGCTGATTAACCAATTAGAAGAGCGCGTTATATTATTTAATGGTGTGAATTTTTGACTTTGCATACCTTAATTATCATTCAATTTTTTTTGTGAAATTTGGGATCTCATGTAAATCAACCGATTTCGACGTACATTCGGATGCTAAAACCTAGGGAGATATATTAATAAAATAGATTTTATTCATAAGACATCATTCACTCTTTATACTAATAGAAATTTTTTTCTTCGTTAGTAACAAAAGTCAATTTTGAAGGTAATCGGTGACAGTGTCCAAAGTACAATGTTTTACTGTTTGATTATAGGCGGAAAATTCTTGAAAGCATTCTTAGAGTTTAATTCCATCAATAGTGAGATGTTCGTCCGGACTTTGTTAAATTAGTTCTATGCAAATGTAACCCTGGGCAGTTGAAATAACAGTTGACACTTATGCACCCAAACTGCCGACATAACTTCCTAATTTTGGATTTTATTCAAAAGTTCGGAAAAAAATGATATTTCGATTACTTTACATTAATTACAGGCCAGATTAAAACAAAGTTAAGATAATTTCAACGAAATTTTCTTGAATGCCAGAGCATTGACGCATCCCAAGAAACGTGGCGCAAAAAG